ATTCATCAGCAATGTATGAGAGATCCAGTTGCTCCACATCTCTAGTATTTTTGGCATTTTTTTTATGTTAGCCATTCTAACAGGTATGTAGTACCACCTCATGCGAAGAGCTGACTCATTGGAAAAGACCCTGATGCTGGGAAGGATTGGGGCCAGGAGGAGAAGGGGATGACAGAGGATGAGATGGCTGGATGGCATCACCGAGTCAATGGACATGAGTTTGAGTAAACTCCAGGAGTTGGTGATGGACAGGGAGGCCTGGCATGCTGCAATTCATGGGGTCGCAAAGAGTCAGAGACGACTGAGCAACAACTGTACTGAAGTGAATGGCTAATTTCATTCCAATCCCAAAGAAAGTCAACGCCAAAGAATGTTCAAACTACCATAAAATTGCACTCATTTCACATGCAACCAAAGTTATGCTCAAAATTCTTTAAGTTAGGCTTCAGCAGTACATGAACTGAGAATCTGAAGATGTACAAGCGGGATTTAGAAAAGATAGAGGAACCAGAGATCAAATTGCCAACATTTGTTGGATCACAGAGAAAGCAAAAGAATTCCAGAAAAACACCTATTCTGCTTCATTGACTATGAGAAAGCCTTTGACTATGTGGATCACAACAAACTATTGAAAATTCTTCAAGAGATGGAAATACCAGGCCACCTCATCTGGCTCCTGAGAAAACTGTATGCAGGTCAAGAAGTAACAGTTAGGGCCAAACATGGAACAACAGACTGGTTCAGAATTGGGAAAGCAGTACAGCAAAGCTGTATACTGTCACACTGGTTATTTAACTTCTATGCAGAATACATCATGTAAAACGCTGGGCTGGATGAATCACAAGCTGGAATCAAGATTGCTGGGAGAAATACCAATAACCTCAGATATGCAGACGATACCACTCTAATGGCAGAAAGTGAAGAGGAACTAAACAGCCTCTTGATGAGGGTTAAAGAGAAAAGTGAAAAAACTGGCTTGAAACTCAACATTCAAAAAACTAAGATCATAGTATCTGGTTCCATCACTTTCATGGTAAATGGAAGGGGGAAAAGTGGAAGCAGTGACAGATTTTATTTTCTTGGGCAAACAGTGAGTGCAGCCATGAAATTAAAAGATGCTTGCTCCTTGGAAGATAACCTATGACAAACCTAGACAGCATATTAAAAAGCAAGCCATCACTTTGCCAACAAAGGTCCACCTAGTCAAAGTTACGGTTTTTCCAGTGTCAATGTGAGAGCTGGACCATAAAGAAGACAGAGAACTGAAGAATTGATGCTTTTAAATTATAGTGCTGGAAAAGGCTCTTGAGATTCCCATGGACTGAAAGTAAATCAAACCAGTCAATCCTAAAGGAAATCAGTCCTGAATATTCATTGGAAGGACTGATGCTAAAGCTGAAACTCCCAATACTTTGGCAATCTGATATGAGGAGTTGAATCACTGGAAAATACCCTGATGCTGGGAAAGATTGAAGGCAAAAGAAGTAGGGGGTGGGAGAGGATGAGATGGCTGGATAGCATCACTGACTCAATGGACATGAACGTGAGCAAACCCCAGAGGTAGTGAAGGACAGCAAAGCCTGGCATGTTGCAGTCCATGGGGTCGCAGAGTTGGACACAATTTATCGACTCAACAACAACAATGGCTAACTATATGGAAAATCTTGTCATGTTCTAACTGGCTCTCCTTATGAAGGAGATGACTTCATCATGACTTCTCCTTGATGAAGTTTTCTGCCCTTTTCTAACTGAATTGTTAGACATTATTGCTAGAATTACTGTTCAGCTTACAAAGTCTTTTATATATTCTACATACAAATCTTCTGACAGATATGTGACTTGAAAATATTTTCCTCCAGTCTATGGCTTATCTTTTCATCTTTTAACGGGGTCATTCAAGAGCAAAAATTTTTCACTGTGATGAAATCCATTTATCAACTTTTTCTTCTATGAACTATTCTTTCATTGTCATGCTTAAGAACTCTTCACCTAAATGCAGGTTATGAAGTTTTTCTCCTATATGTTCTAAACCTTTTACAGTTTTATATTTTACATTTTGGTCTATCACCCAATGTGAGTTAGTCCATTGTATAAGGAAGGAGATTTAAGTCAAGGTTTTGGTTTTGTTTTTGTTCTGCCTCTGTATGCCCAACTACTCCACCTATCCATCTGTCAACAAGAGCATGTTTCTTTCACTCAATTCTTTTTGCACCTTTGCAAAAACCAGTTGGCCCTTACTTGACTGAACCTACTGATACATCTCAACTCTCTGTCCTGCTTCCTTTATCTACGATCTGTGTCTATCCCCTGGCCAGGACCACTCCATCTTGATTACTGTAGCTGTAAGTCAGTCTTAAAATCAGGTAACATGTTTCCTTCTAAGTTTATTCTTATTTTGTATCCCCTTAAAAATTTTAAAATCATCCTCTCTAGAAAACATCCTGCTATGACTTTTCAGGAATTAAATATATAGATCAATCTGGGTTGAACAGACATTTTTAATATGTGAGTTTTCCAATCCATGAACATGTCATGCCTGGCCCTTAAGTCTTCTTTGCTTTTGTTCATTAGCATTTTTGTGGTTTTCAGTACACAGAAATTGTATGTTCTATTGTATTTATACCAAATGTTTCATTTTTGAGCAACTGTAAATGGTATGTGTTTTAAAATTTTGTTTCCAACTGTTCACTGCCAATATATGGCAATATGATTGTGTGTATGTCTGTGTGTGTATATGACAGAAAGAGAGAGCAAGATTCTGTATTTTGACCTGATGTCTACAACTGCAAACTTATTTTCAGAACTATCTTTTGTATTCTCTAGTGTTTGTAGATTCCTTGGGATTTGTTATGTAGCCAATCATATTGTTTGCAAATGTGAACAGCTTTATTTCTTCACTCTAACCCATATGTCCCTTCTTTCCTTTTTTTGGCCTTAAGTCTTCTAGTACAAGTTGAACTGACTTGTTGAGAGCAGACATCCTTACGTTATTCCCAAAAGCAGACTTTTATCACTAACTATGATGTTTGCTATTTGTTTTTATAAATGTCCTTTATCAGAGTGAGTTATCTTATATTCCTAGTTTGCTAAGAATTTTTAATCATGAAAGTGCTGAATTTTCTCAAATGGTTTTAAACCCTTGCTGGTGGCTCCAACATCTGTGTCATTTCAAAGTTAGCTTCTGCTGATTGTCCCTTCTTACTAGAGTTGCCTTTTTCCTGATTCCTTCATATGACAAGTAATTTGGAGCTGTAAGATGGACATTTTAATTAAGTAGGAATTATGACACTCTAATTTCTACTTGAATCTTTTATTTTAGTCAACCTGTTCACAGCGAGAATGTGATCCAACGCTCACTTTTGCGGTGGTGGGGGTTGTTCAGTTGCTCAGTCGTGTCCGATTCTTTGCGACCCCTTTTGTGGACTTTTGTGGACTGTGACTGAAATGTCATTTCAGTTTATAAAGTCTCTCCAGTACTCCTTGGTTTTCCCTATTTGCATGTTACCTAGATGACAGAACTCCACTTCCCATTATCCTTAGGATGGGCTTGAGTGGGGAGAAGCACTGCCTCATTTCAGCAAGGCAGACACAGAAAATAGGGTAATAAGCAGGGGAGTGGAGAGCTGTGAAAGTTAAAGTACAACCCACGGTTGGCTGGGGAGGGTAGCACCTTATTACTGCAGGGCGAGTGGAAATCAAGAGCTCTAACCACAGGCTTCCCTGTGGAGAAACGCTCCTTCCTTTCTTCAGAGCAAGGGGGAAAGCTGAGTTTTGCCTCAGAACTCTGCAGGGCAAGGGTACCACCTTGTTAACGTTGTGAGGCCAGAGTCTCACCCACAGGCTCTGCTGAAGAGAGCTGCCACCCTGAAACTTCTGGTGGGGTGGAAACCAGTCCTCCCTACAAGCTCTGCGGAGGAAGGGCACTGCCTCACTACTGGAGCAGAAAACAGCCAAGTCAGAGTCTGACCCACAGGATGCACTTAAGGGGGACATCTCCCTGTTACTGCAGGTGGGGGAAGGGTGCTTGTGAGACAAAGCTCTGACTGTCGATACCCCTGCTGTAATGCCTGTTGGAGTGGGAGGGGGTACAGATTTTATTGTGGTGTTCTCCTACAGAACAGACAGGATAGGATGCTTCTATCTTGCTGCACCATCGTTTGGCTAGAGAGAACAGGCTTTCCTTGGTATTATTATTTTGTCTGCACTCATTAGCATTTTCAGGTTGTAGTTGTCTCTACAGCCCAGGCCAGGATATACGAAGCCAAGAAAAAAAGACAACCAGGGCATTCACTCAATCCATGAATTTCAATGTCCCTAATCATCCACCTTCTGTTTCCTAACTTTTAGAGTGTTCTGATAGGGCATTTTATGGGTTTTGTCCAGAATTTTTGTTTGATTAGTAGGAAGAGTAAAATAGAATGTGTTTACTTCATCTTGTTCAGAACCCAAACCCTGTCACTTATTTTCAGTCTATATTTTTGTGTTCTATCACACTCTACTCTCTAAGTTTCCAGAGGATACGAACTGAGGTTTTATTTATCTAGTAATTAATGGCCTGGCAAAAAGTATCATATATGACATATCTTAAGCTTAGTAGCTGTAAGAAAGTGATAATACAGCTTCTTGATCTTTACCCACTATTAGGTTCACAATGTGTTAATAACTCTGAAGTTTGTTCATTCAATTAATACAAATCTATTTTATGAAAGCTTCTGGGGACACAACAATTGAGTAAGATAGCTAAAATTCTTGATGTGATAGGACTTACATTCTACTGGCTGGAATAGGACGGAGAAAACTGCAGGCACATGAATAATGTATTCTCTTCAGTTTGGACAAAACTCAAAAGTCTACTATATTCCAGTTAATATCAGGAACATACATTTGAAAATCTGCAAATATTCAGAAGTCTATAAATTTGCATTGGCTAAGTACCATAATTTTTTATCTTGGTACAATGGAACTTTGTTGACTTAGCAAACTAATTACCAACTACTTACCACATAGAGTTGTTTCCACAAACTGGCCCATTCTTGCAGAGTTGCTGTAACCTCAGTCACAATAGAATCTTCAAGTGGAACCACAGTTTCATACTGCCTAGAACCAAAGACACAACAAACAGCCACATTATCTTTGATAAACTACCAGAATACTGTCTACTGCCCTTTCCAACAAGTGTAAATCAAATTTAAATTCATGCAAATATAAAGAGAGGTACAGCTAACTGATACAGACTCTGCTGCAATAATATGATAATATAAGTGAACTAATTTAATGAACATTTAGGTTTTGCTATAAAAATCCGCAATATTACTTTTAGCAGTACTGTCATTAAAGATAGTTTTTAAATTTTTTTCTCTAAAGGAAGACTATAGCACTGCCCAAGACTTGCTTAATTTTTAAAAACTATTTGTGTCCAAATTAACTCATGCTCTGATAGAAATGGGTTGGGTGGGGGAGACTTAGACACTGGGTTTTGAAGTTTTATAAGCTCTCCCTTATACTGATAGTATGTTTTCCTAGAAACCTGTCGAGCAGAAGAATCCTAATCCTAGTAACAGAAATACTGGGTTTTTTCCAACTACCTTGTAAGCAACATTCATTATGGCATCAATCGTCGTGCTAATTGCCAAGGATTTATCAGTGAGCAAAAATGGACAGAGTTGATATCTTCAGAGAGCTCTTATTCTGCATAAAAAATTAGACAAGTAATCACAACAGACACCAACCATGATGAATCTAAGAAAGAAACCAAATTGCACAATCAGAGATTTTAGCTGGGGGACATGACTTAAAGAGAGGGTGAGTGAAGCCTTCTCTGCAGGAACAGCAATGCCCCCAAAATGCAAAAAGGTCAGGATCAAAGAGTTTGTTATGAAGGAGAGGTGTGGTGTCACCTGCAGAGGGAACGGTATACAAGAAGTTACTGAGATGAATGAGAATTTCACATATCTAAGAATTTAAAGAAGTCTGCACTGACTTGAGGCCAGCTCTCACAGGGCCTCTCCAAACGATACTTAAGATACCAGATCTTAACACAGGGAAAATGAATGAGAAGATCCTAAAAGGCTGTTCAAAGCAGAGGCATGACTTGAAAACATTTTTATAATGTCTGTGCCAATTTTGAGGGTTAATGAAATATTTTCTGGGACCAAAGATTTTATATACTAATACACTGAGGTAGATGAAACCTGTATATTGATTTGTTACCCATAAAGAATATCATCCAGGGACTTCCCTGGTAGTCCAATGGCTAAGACCCTGCATTCCCACACTCCCAATGCAGGGGGTCTGAGTTTGATCCCTGGTCAGGGAACTAGACTCCCACATGCCACAAATAAGAGTTCACATACCACAACTAACAGATCCTGCATACCACAACTAAGATCCAGCACAGCCAAATAAATAAATATTAAAAAAAAAAAAAAGAATATCATCCAGCTGGAAACAGCAAAGGAAAATTAATTTTAAAAATTAGCATTAAGTATAATTTCTCTACATAGCTAACAAACCCTGTGTTCAAAGGTGACTCAGTGTATTAATACTGAGCATCAATGAATATATATTACTTGATCTATGCTGTAAGGCCTTTTTATTTTGTGTGATTTGTTCCAGCAGATTTAAAATAGTCATCTTAGAATGATGCCAGAACACTGTCCATATTCATCAAATTTATAAAGTGAATTTTCAGTGCAAGGCTGAGATTCAAACTTGACACTATGGAAATAGAGACATGGGAGATGGGAGCTGTTTTAGCAAGATTTATGCAGAACTGCTCTATGGATAAACTGGAATAAAATTTCTGGAATGTTCCATCTACTAGGTCTTCATCTACTTTAATCATTGACTTTCATAGGAAACTTACATTGTTCCTATTTTAAAGTTCTAAACCTTTGGACTTACCTCAAATCCAAGTCTATACTAACATTAACATATTTTTCCTTGGCTATAATATAAAATATTCTGAAAATCCCTAAAATTCAGATAAAGTGTTATTTAAAAACACACTGTTCCATAGACCAAGTGGAATATAGTCGTAACACTAAGAAAAATAACTAAATAAGGTGAACTAGTAAGTGGATTTCCAAGAAAATTCTGCATTCATGCAGAATAAAGTTTGTTAAAAATGAAAATTGGGGGAACTTCCCTGGTGGTCCAGTGGCTAAGACTCCTCACTCCCAATGCAGGGGGCTTGGGTTCAATCCCTGGTCAGGGAACTAGATCCCACATGCCACAACTAAATAAATAAATAATTTTTTAAAAAAAATGAAAATTGGTAGTAAGAAGATATACATATATATGTTAATAATATACATATATAAATTCAATGTATAATGCACAGAAATGTAGCTGAGAGTATGAACTTCAGAGTTACATAACTTGGCCTCAATTCCTAGTTTCCTTTCTTCCTTGTCATGCTGCTTTAGCAAAGGTACTTGAACTCTCAAAGCCTTGCCCACCTCATCTGAAATAAATGGTTAATCCCATCATCTAGTGTGGAATTCCTAAGCATGATATAACAGCTAGAATCAAGATTGCTGGGAGAAATATCAATAACCTCAGATATGCAGATGACACCACCCTTCTGGCAGAAAACAGAGAGGAACTAAAAAGCCTCTTGACAAAAAGTGAAAGAGGAGAGTGAAAAAGCTGGCTTAAAACTCAACATTCAAAGAATGAGGATCATGGCATCTGGTCTCATCACTTCATGGCAAATAGATGGAGAAACAATGGAAACAATGACAGACTTTACTTCCTTGGGCTCCAAAATCACTGCAGCCATGAAATTAACAGATGCTTGCTCCTTGGAAGAAAAGCTATGACCAACCGAGACAGCATATTAAAAAGCAGAGATATTACTTTCCTGACAAAGGTCCGTCTAGTCAAAGCTATAGTTTTTCCAGCTGTCATGTGTGGATGTGAGAGTTAGACTATAAAGAAAGCTGGGCACCGAAGAATTGATGCTTTTGAATTGTGGTGTGGGAGAAGACTCTTGAGAGTCCCTTGGACTGCAAGGACATCAAACCAGTCAATCCTAAAGGAAACCAGTCCTGAATATTCATTGAAACGACCGATGCTGAAGCTGAAGCTCCAATACTTTGGCCACCTGATGTGAAGAGCTAACTCAATGGAAAAGACCCTGATGCTGGGAAAGACTGAAGGCAGGAGGAGAAGGGAACGACAGAGGATGAAATGGTTGGATGGTATCACTTACTCGATGGACATGAGTCTGAGCAAGTTCTGGGAGCTGATGATGGACAGGGAAGCCTGGCAAGCTGTAGTCCATGAGATCACAAAGAGTCAGACATGACTGAGCAACTGAACTGAACAGTCATCAAGACAGTATGGTACCGGCACAAAAACAGAAATACAGACCAATGGAACAAGAGAGAGAACCCAGAGGTAAGCCCATGTATTTATGGGTACCTTATTTTTGACAAAGGAGGCAAGAATATACAATGGGGCAAAGATAGTCTCTTCAATAAGTAGTGCTGAGAAAACTGGACAGCTACATGCAAAAGAATGAAATTAGAACACTACCTAACGCCGCACACAAAGATAAACTTAAAATGGATTAAAGACCTACGATTAAGACCAGAAACTATTAAACTCTTGGAGGAAAATATAGGCAGAATACTCAATGACATAAATCAAAGCAAGATTTTCTATGATCCACCTCCTAGAGTAATGTAAATAAAAACAAAAATAAACAAGTGGGACCTAATTAAACTAAAAAGCTTTTGCATAGCAAAGGAAACTACAAACAAGGTGAAAAGAAAACCTTCAGAATGGGAGAAAATAATAGCAAATGAAACAACTGACTTAAATCTCAAATTCAGACTTAAATTGAAGAAAGTGGGGAAAACCACTAGACCATTCAGTTATGACCTAAATCAAATCCCTTATGATTATACGGCAGAAGTGAGAAACAGATTTAAGGGACTAGATCTGATAGACAGAGTGCCTGATGAACTATGGACAGAGGTTCGTGACATTGTACAGGAGACAGGGAGCAAGACCACCCCCAAGAAAAAGAAATGCAAAAAGGCAAAATGGCTGTCTCAGGAGGCCTTACAAATAGCTGTGAAAAGAAAAGAAGCAAAAGGCAAAAGAGAAAAGGAAAGATATAAGCATCTGAATGCAGAGTTCCAAAGAAGAGCAAGGAGAGATGAGAGAGCCTTCCTCAGTGATCAATGCAAAGAAATAGAGGAAAACAACAGAAGGGGAAAGACTAGAGATCTCTTCAAGAAAATTAGAAATACCAAGGGAACATTTCATGCAAAGATGGGCACAATAAAGGATAGAAATGGTATGGACCTAACAGAAGCAGAAGATATTAAGAAGAGGTGGCAAGAATACACAGAAGACCTGTACAGAAAAGATCTTCACGACCCAGATAATCATGATGGTGTGTCACTAACCTAGAGCCAGACATCCTAGAGTGTGAAGTCAAGTGGGTCTTAGGAAGCATCACTATGAACAAAGCTAGTGGAGGTGATGGAATTCCAGTTGAGCTATTTCAAACTCTCAAAGATGATGCTGTCAAAATGCTGCACTAATAGGCCAGCAAATTTGGAAAACTCAGCAGTGGCCACAGGACTGGAAAAGGTCAGTTTTCATTCCAATCCCAAAGAAAGGCAATGCCAAAGAATGCTCAAACCATCGCACAATTGCACTCATCTCACATACTAGTAAAATAATGCTCAAAATTCTCCAAGCCAGAATTCAGCAATACGTGAACCGTGAACTTCCAGATGTTCAAGCTGGATTTAGAAAAGGCAGAGGAACCAGAGATCAAATTGTCAACATCCGCTGGATCATCAAAAAAGCAAGAGAGTTTCAGAAAAACATCTACTTCTGCTTTATTGACTATGCCAAAGCCTTTGACTGTGTAGATCACAATAAACTGTGGAAAATTCTGAAAGAGATGGGAATACCAGACCACCTGACCTGCCTCTTGAGCACCTGTAAGCAGGTCAGGAAGCAACAGTTAGAACTGGACATGGAACAACAAACTCGTTCCAAATAGGAAAAGGAGTACGTCAAGGCTATATATTGTCACTCTGCTTATTTAACCTATATGCAGAGTACATCAT